TTCTTCGTTATCCTTCTACGTATCTTAATTTTGAATTATCAACATGAGCTGAAAAATAAATGAAATTCTGACAGTCATATAGAAGAACGGACAAATCTAAGCAAACAGTCACTTGATATCGTTTTATGTCGTATCAACTTTTATTTACATTTACCATTTTTTGCCCTCAATCAGAAAAGACTAATGTGAAAGTTTTATAGTAAACTTCACACTAGTTTATATATGAAATTGATTGTTTTTTATATCATAGTAAAATGATATAAAAAACAATAGTTTTTTTCTATTCATTTATTTTATAAATACTTCGATGACAATAACACTGACTGAAGATCGATGTTCTTGTTCGTGTTGGATTGGATTGGATTTGGTTGTTATCCTATTCAAAAACCTGATTTTTCCATTCCATTGTGTATCGATGACAACGGAGCTTGTGTTGCACTATCTAAAAATATATATCCTGCAGATTGTAATCATATCTATTCACATACGTTTGCTATTTGTACTTCTGGTACATCAAAGATCTTCAATCAATATACAATTTTTAATATTCTTAGTATCATTTGTACTACTATTCTACGACAGCTGTAATGGAATTAGAATGAAAAACAAAATAGAATGCTATGATCCTTCAATATTTATGTTTTAGTTCTATGCTTACGTAGGAAAATATAATTAAAAGTTGCTATTATAAGAATACTACACTTTTATGTATACTATAAATTAATGTAGACAACTTTCTCTGCAGCAGCCTGAAGTAGAAATAATTACATCTGAACAGATAAAAAGTATAATATGTTTGTTTGAGTTTGTAGAAAAAATTCAACTAGAAATACTTAATTTGTTTCGATCATAATTAGAAATTTAAATCACATTGTTTGCGTTATATGTTTTCAGTAAACTCTATTATTAACTATACACCTCATCTGAAAAGTTTCAATAAGTCGTCACTAAACAAATAATCATTTCTTTGACTTTCATGCATTTCAATTTTAGAATCAAACTCATTATTTCAATGTCAAGAATAGAGAAATTTTCATTCCATCATTTTGCTTCGTGAAGTATAGTCGCATTTTTCTTTTTGTTATCGTTACATTCCTTGTGCATCTGCCTCTCTAAGTCGATAAGAGAAGAATGATGGCAGAGGGGGTTAATAATAATAGTGGTCATAATAATGATCACCTTTCCGGAAACGAATATGAGATACTGGAACAGGGGTCTATATCAAATGTTCAAGTTGAATCTATATCAAGATTTCTATCGGAATGCCCGGAAGCAGCTTTAAGTGTACACAAGTTTCTGCAAACAAATTATTTCAAGTCAAATCAGCAACAGCAAATAGTGCAACCAGTGAATTCAACTCCCAAGAGTGGGCATCCACTAGACGAAAGTGGAAGCTCGATCAACAGTGGAAGGGGCCATCGTAAATATCCTCAAAAAGGTATCGCCAGCAACGCAAATAAGCAATCGCAACATGTACAACAGGAGATTAATTTACAACCACAACAACCATCGTCATCAACGTCGTCAGGTGAAAGACAACAACAATAAGTGATAAATCAAGCTTCTACGAATCGTAAAAGAATTTCTTTTAATCAATTGAAGCACGCGGTTTCTTCTAATCTGCCATGTTTTCTTTATTGAATTCACCTCGGATACTGATCGTCATAGTATTCCAACAGCTCTTCATGCGAGTAATCGTATACTTAAAGAATTACAACCGAAGGGCGTTTTAATTAATATGTTTACATTAGTAGGATGGTCAGGGAAAAGCTCAAGTTAGGTGTTAATAATAAAGAAGATTACGCCACGCTCGTTGGTTCGGATAAATGGCCTACAAAAATAAATGGAATTGATATTGTCGTTGCGAAACCTAAATATGTACCTGATTCATTTGCTCTTGTAGGAGAATACATCCTATTCCGCAATGTTGAACATTCCGGAACCAGTTCCGCTTACGGAACCAATTCCATCTAATTCCCGAAATTCCGTTTATCCCTTCCGATTCAATTCCGGAATTACACGGAATTCAAACCGATTCCGCCTAATTCCCAACGGTTCCGGAATTCAGTGCACTTACACTAACATCCACACCCACACTGACACCCTCACTTATGGCAACACCCACACTGACACCCTCACTTATGGCAACACCCACACTGACACCCTCACTTATGGCAACACCCACACCATGCAATTCCGGTACGGAATTCCGTCTAATTCCCAGCGATTCCGGAATTGAGTGATCAATGGACACTTGATATATCTGATAGCTCGGTGACGAGTGCAATTCTGGTACGGAATTCCGGGAATTAGGTCGAACAGGAATTGAACGGAATTACACGGAATTCCGGGAATTAGGTAGAACAGGAATTGAGCGGAATCACACGGAATTCCTGGTAATTCCGTCTAATTCCCACCGATTCCGTATTGAGCTAATTCCGGAATTGGACTGAATTCCGTGGAATTCCGGGAATCGGAGGAACTAATTCCGGAATCGGATGAACCAGTTCCGGAATCGGACAGTGTTCATATTTGACCTAATTCCGGAATCGACGGAACTGATTCCGGGGGCGGAACTGGTTCTGGAATGTTCAGCATTGCGGAATTGAATGACTGCTCCACGAAAATCAAGTTTGACAACATTTACTTTCACCAATGCATCGACTTTTTCGTTACTTGTCTGATTGGTGAAGGTGACCTGCAGTTCAAGCCTTTAGGCGTTTATCATGAGACTTGAAAAATTTCTTCAATGTAATTTTGATAAATCACACAAACCAATAAACTTTACAAATAATTATTATTTCAGAGTACCATTCTTGATGGCGACAACTCGTTCAGTAGCAATTATTGGTGGAGGAATTGGTGGTTTGACCGTGGTCAATGGTTTGATGCATGCAGGATTGTCTGTTTCATTAAATGAGCGTTCGCCTTTTTTTATTCCAACGGCCGGTGCTGGATTTGGTCTTCAACCAAATGGACAAGCAGTACTCGCACACATTGGCTTCAAAGAAAAAGTGCAACAAATCACTCATCCCTATCTTGTACGGCAGATTATTAATGACAATGGTGATGTGATTGCGTCATCAAATAGAATTGCCGATTACGGTAAACGATTTGGTTTCTTTCTCGGTGGAATTTTGCGTGCTGAACTTGTTGATATATTGAAAGAACCCATAGAACAAGCCGGTAATTTACATAATAATCATAATGTTGCCAATATCAAACAAGACGCCGATGGTGTGATGATTTCTTTAGAAAACAATCAGCAGAAAAAGTCAGTTCGAGTAGATATGCTCATTGGAGCAGATGGAATTCATTCAACAGTTGTCAATCAAATCTTTCCTCAAAGTCCTCCACCTATCTATACGAAAGAAAACATATTTTATGGTGTAATCGACAATATTGATCAACAAACATCTATCAATCCGACAGTTACAGCTAAAAACACATTGACACACTACGTATATTGACCGTGGTGATTTTATTACATGTCAAATTGGTAACAAAGGAGAAATGATGTGGGTTGCTACTTACCATTCGGATGCACCTCCGTCAGCAAGTGGTGATGTGGAATAGATAGAAGTAAATACTAAACGTGAATTACAGAGTCAATTAAAAAGATTTCCTAAATCACATCCTGTTCATGAGTGTGCAGCTGCAACTGATAAAAAACGTTTACTTCATTTCGGATTGTACTATCGTCAGCATCGCAGAGATGGATGGCATCGAGGCCGAATCTGTTTACTGGGTGATTCTTGCCATGCAACATTGCCCTATGTAGGTCAAGGAGCCAATATGGCTATTGAAGATGCAGTGTCACTTGCAACATGTTTAGAAAAACATCATTTTCTCATTGAACCAGCATCTCAAGAATATTATAAGCAACGTTACGATCGAACCAGGCGTGTTGTTAATTCTGCACGATATTTGGGTTTACTTTTACATTCACAAAATCCTGTTATATCTTTCATAGCGAAGCGTTTAGGTCCTGTAATAATCCAGTCTAACGTACTTATGACAATGATTGAAAATGAGTTTTATAATAAATGTCCTATCTCGATGAAGCCGTTGAAAGAAGAGTAATAAATGGTTGATGTCTATATGTGTATTCAATCAATCCAAAATGAGCAGCTATTAATCGCTGAAAATGACGGTGCGGTGAGACGCTCAAACCGAAAACCACACCCACACCTACACTCTTCAGTGTATGATGACACGGATGACTACCTGAAAGTAATTGAATTTTACTCAAAATCACTTACAATAGGAGAGACAGCTCTTCCTTCAAATCGTCCTGGTTTGGATTGTTGCTACAGCAGCATTGCTTGAATATATAACAGCATGAATGACTATTCGAAAGACCTGCCATTTTTAGAAAAAGCACACAATCTCGTACAAATAATCACTTCCTTCATCGCATCCTCATTCTAAATTGGTTGTAGACAGTATTGCCACAACAAAAAAGAAAATGTAATTTTATTCCTGTTTGTGTTTTCTTTCTTTTGATTTGGTTGGCTCAAATAAATTCGCATTTTCGATTACATGGGGATTTGCATAAACCGGTAATGGTAGACGCAGTAGCCTCGTCAGACTAATCGACCAATATCCATTGATGGTATGGCGTACAAATACTATGACAGGGACTGTAAAACCATAAAAGGCTGTTCCTAGTACAACACTATTTTGGGAAAACAGTATAAAGAATCGCTCTGGCAGAGGTGCAGAATCTGCCGTGACTTTTAAAAATTTTCCCGCACGGGGCTCTTTTCTCCAAATTCTTCTAGCAATCGAAAAATTTCCCCTCACGGCCGTGGGCGCACACGGGCAGATTCTGTATCTCTGATGACCAGTTCCAGAGTAGATACCACTCAGTGATCTTTTTCGTGAATAATCGTCAATCAATGAAGATAATGTGATGAGAAGAGACAAGGTATTATCATTTTCAACGCGCAACTGCGCTATAACTTTGCTTCAATCACAGCTATAGAACTTTCTCAAAATATTCTATTCTATTTTATTTTATCATTACCCAATGAATAGTCACTCAATTGACTTTATATTTAATGTATCTGCTAGATCCACATGGAAATACACGATATTTAAAATAAAATAGATTTACTAATTACTTCTTAATCTCTATCCTCATTTTTCGTTAGTTTGAACCTCAGTCGTCTTGTCATCACCTTTATTGGAATCGTATACTCTCAACGAAACGAGTATTTCCATCTAAGTTTATTTAAAAAGTAAAATTCATTGGTAAGCTTACATCGGCATATTATCTTTGCTCTAGTATTGCTTTCTATATATGGTAATTAGAAATGAGTTGATTTACATTACAGGCATACTCGATCATTGAGTGATGCGAAATATTCGCGATTTTGCACTAATCATAGAAGGATTCTATTTTGTGCATAAGACTTCAATACATTCAATAGCTGAATACACAAGCCATAGTTATTTTTCTTTTTATCAATCGTGCGAATTAGAATTGCTCAATAGTTAATAAATTTTATTCCGAAAAAAGTCAACTGATGTGGCTCAAAAGTGCATGATTTTTAATCGTTTGTATTACATTTAAAATTATTCTTACGCTAGACAAAATAATAGGCAATGCTGTATCGTGTAGAATTCCAAGAAATGGTGTACTGTTTATGGAAAAGTTTTAAATAGAAAACGGTGTTCAAATTTAAACTAATGAAAACTGTGATACAGGCAATTTATGATGTCTTCAAATACGAATTTCATCAAAACTAATTTATTTCTCTCGTCACATTGGATGCCATTTTTTGAACTGACGACGACTTGACTAAATTATTTATACAAATGTGTAATTATTCATTGTTAGTGGTCATTTTGCGTTATCTTTATCGTCCACCATTATCTAATTTTATTAAGATAACCATAAAATAATTCAGACTCTAAACAACAATTATATGAATATGAAAAACAAAACACAATTGAACGATACGATGAAAACAATATCACATCAATGTAACAAGTTATGATTGGCAAGAACAGTTTATTTTCATGTAAAGTGAGAATGGCATTTTATATTTTCTTGCGTTTATTTGGTGCTACATTTGATTGAGGTTGTATGATCGACCGATCTGAAATTAGAACACGTACAGCCCAGTCAGACAGAAGGTTTAAAAAAACGCATTAAAACACGTTAAAATTCCGTTAAAACGCCGTTTCAACGCTTTTGTTTAGACTTTTGTCTGAATGGTATGTAAAGATTTTCAAAATTTCTCTATCATTTTTAAAAAATATTAGAAATATATATACTTTATACATTTCTAATGAAATTTAAAATATATTGGAATGTTTTTTAAAACATTTGATAGAAAAATTTTTAAATGTTTCAAATTATTTTCAAAGAAATATATTCCTAAAATCAATTTTTTCATAATTTATTTAAATATTTTAAAAAATAATTTACATTTAGAAACAATCTTTTTAAATGCATATTATTTGTATCTTTTTTCCTGAAAACTAAAAAGCTAACAATAATTTTTTCACTCTTAATCTTCTATCGAAACAAACTGTCACTTTGCTATATGAATTCATTCGATTTAAGCTACTTGTTTGAATTATCTTTAAACTGTAAGACTAGTCGAATGGATAGCATCTTACACTATCAACAAGTACATCATACGGTCTATTCTAGGTCAATGCAGTAAAATCTACAAGATTTAACTGAATCAGGTAAATAAACTACAAAAAACGTTAATAAACCACAACGCGTTATAGCGCATTGATAATCTTGTACGAAAAATTTAAAAAAAAATCCTTTTTTGGATTTTATTTTCTTTAAAGTTAATTAATGCGTTTTAACGCGTTAAAGTTTTGAACGGAAAAAAACGCACTGATAAACTTTAACGGCAAAAAAATCCCAAAAATGTGCGGTTTTTCTGAAATGTTTGCCGTAAAAATTTCGATGCGTTTTAATGCGTTATTTTTTATTTTTTGTCTGACTGGGAGATAAATACTCAGCTTTATGAAAATTTACCGTTCATGAACGCATCAACTTTATCTTGCCGTAGATTTAAGAAGAGTGTTTCATATTCTTCAGTGTTATCTATTTAAAAATAAATAACGTAATGACATGGATGAAGTTTGATCGAGAAAGTTACCTCCTTCATTAATTTTTTTCATTAATGATAGACGGGCAAGTCGGCATTGTTCGTGAATACCAGATTTTCTGAAAAAAAAGTAATATTCAGCGCACGTAATGAATCATATGGGCTCATTTACAGTTTTATGATGAATAATAAGCCAGAGATGTCGCCTGTTCCTTCAAGAATCTTCACATCATCTAATACATCTGAAATTTAAAAAAATAAGACAGTTGGCGAAATCGATCTAACTGAAAGTACCTTGATATTTTTTTTCTCTGTAGTTCATCAAAATTCTTTGTTGACGATACGCCTGTCTTTGACAGCCAGTTAATGAAATATCATCGATGAATTTCGTTAATAACTATAGAAAAAAAAGTTATTCGTGAAAAGAAAACGAACATGTTTTTACCGCTATTTGAGTTTTGCCATCGATCTCAAGCAGTTTAAAAACATTACCTGATGATGACATTGTATTCGTCGACAATATATGAACCAAATGTATATTCAAACGACGCAACCGTTCAACGTATGATTAATATATTGTTCGAATTTGTGAATTCTTCTTCCTTTTATGCGCGTATGAATGATAAAGCTATACAATCAGCCTATGAAGTAACAAAGAAAATAAAAAAAAATAAACATGATCGGGGGTACAGACGGACGTATCATACATATTCTAAGTAATTTTAATTTTGACATAAATGACCTATCTTTGTTTAATTCTCAAATAGACCAGATGAAAAGAATAAATAAAACAACGCTTTTAGCGTACAGTTCGAAATAAAGGGTGTGGGTGTGTAATAATCGCTAATAATTAAAATCATCTATATAGTTTGCTGATTTTCTATCGATATACTCGCAATTGAACTGATTTGAATAAACATTACTCTTGTTGTTGATGATGATGTTGTTTCTTCTTTTACGAATAGCGAGACCGAATAAAACTTTCAATAGTATGCTCCATCCTTTTCCGATTGCCATCAGATGAATATGTTTACTCTCATTTAATCAGAATCAACAAATTTATAGTATTATAAGAAAACTATGGTATCAGTGAATCTACTGATTTATTTTGAGATTAAAGAATAACTTCTGTATGCATTGAATTCTATTTTGTTTGTGTTCTAATCTCTTTCTAAAAGTAGGAATTTTANTTTTGTATGATTAAATTGTTTATCACTATATTCTGGCCTATTATCATGAACATCAGCTGATATCCATGTTGCTTTATCACATTGTTCTTCATCATCATCAATGGGTGCTATTTGTTCATAGGTTTCAAAATCTGTATCATCATCGTCATTATTATTGTCATCGAAACTTTTTATGGATTTTAATGATTTTCTGGTAGACGACGATTGATCAAGTGACCATTCATCAAAAAAAAGCATCTTCAACATGATTTAAATCAATTGGTTCATCAAATCGCTGAAATTTATCAGATATCTAAGAAAAGAAGAAAAAAACACAAGGAAGAATTTAATATTTGTTTGAATCAATAAAAATCTAGTTTTATTTTATTTACTAAATCATAACTTTGATCCGATAATTGTGAATTAAGTTCTTCTTCTTTTTGACATAGACTGCATCCAGTTGCTTTTATCATTATCGTTTTAAAACATTGAAAACATGTTGTATGTCCGCAAGCATCATTCACTGGTCGATGAACACCAGCTATATCAAAGGGTATTTGACAGATTGGACACAGGGTTTTTGATATTGGCCGATCATTTTTTAAATAATAAGAAGAAAATGACGATGACGAAAAATAAGACGATCGATCAATCGTTAAAGATGTTGATCGATGTAGCGTGGAATGATTTGAAGATATGTGACTTATTGGTAACGGTAATATTGAAGAAACATCATTTGTTGAAGAATTTCGTTGTAGCTCATCTATTTTGTTTGATGGTTTTTTAAGAGAAGTTGAATCTATTTGTGAATTTACAGATAAGAATTGTGATGAGATTGTGTGACGATGTGTATTTAGTGGCACATCAGGAATATGACGAAAAGTCAATCTGATATGAAGAAATTTTTATTTTAGAACTTTTGAAGAACAAAAATCGATAAGAAAAAATCTCACTGAGATAACGGTCGATTTTCCGTATTATTTAAACGTTCTCGTGTAGCTTCATCTCGATAAACAGTAAATTTTCAATTGTTCATTTAAATTATTTTTAATCGCTGGTCGACTAAACACATGTGTATTAATGGTACGATTTGTTTGTAAAATTCTATTATTCATCTCTCTTATATTAGGCAATTCATTTTCAATGATCTCAAAGAGAAATAAAATATTTTTCTTAATTGAATTTTCCAAGGGACTTTTGTTTTTTTTAGTACGAAAAAAAAAGTTAGTAAATGTTGTTTGAACAAGAGACCCATGAAGAAGGTATACGTACATTAATGTTATAGAGTACAGAAAGAAAAAGAAAAAGAAAAAAAAAGAGGAGCGCATTCATAAAATTTCAAAGTATTCAACTGTGACAAAGTAGAAGAGAAAAAAAAGCATGACACAAAAAACGAAGACATAGTCAAGTTTTGTTCCAATGTTAGCTTATTTTTCCTCGCACCATTCGTTTTCTTTTTTGATTTGTTCTTCCTAAAGAAAAAAGAGTTTATTTTATTTTATATATTAATTAAAATAAACCAAACCTCTTGAGGTGTGAAATCATTTTTGATATTGAATGTGCGCCGACTTTCTTCTGGTGTTTTGCCTTTGATCATGTTTGCAACTGTTTTGCATGTTACATCAAGTAAACCTTTTATATCTATTTTAAGTAGTTAGCAGCCTGGACATTAAAGAAAAGAACACTTTCTAAAATGGCAAAACCAAAATAAGTTCAAAAAGTGTTCCTTGATCGACTTTTAGAAAATCTTGATCCCATGATGAAATATCAGTTGTATTTTTTTCACGGTTTTCATCATCTTCTGGTGGTGGTGGAGGATCATCTTTATGATGAGTTGCCCGTTAAATAACCTAAATTTCAATTATTAAACAAATTTACTTTTGCAATATAACAATATTTTTATTTTTATTTTTGATTATATATTCTAATCAACGATAAATCAAACAAGCAAACTTTATCTATTGATATAAAATTATTCAGAACCACTTTTTGGTTATATGAGATTTTCATTCTTAATCCAATAAAACGAAAACTGATTTCTAACAATATGTGACAAATTAAAATTGAAAATAAAAGAATCATGTAAATCTCTATTGTCCTCAACAGCGTCTTTTTTTCTTAGTGATATTAGCTATCATTTGTAAAGAATTTCAAAATAACCGAATATTTGCTTGGTTCATTTAATCAATGAATAGTTATGAATTAGAATTATATATCAATTAGAAAATTGTGATCAATTTTACTTAGATAAACTTTGTTCTCAGATAATTGAGTTTCATCACCAGTTGAGAAGATTTTATCATCAAATAAATAGATTTCTTTAATCTAAGCAATACCCAAGACGTATTCATCAATTTATTTGTCTTACTATATATTGAGTTTTGTGTTATTTTATTTTTTGATAACTATGATGTAAATCCATGTTTCAGACTGTATAGTTTTAGAATAACAAACGTTGACAAAATTCTAATTTATTTTCTAGTTATTGTATTTTATTTAACAAAAGCTTTTTGATCTATTTAAATAATGTTGATAGTAAACAACAAATTATCACAGCATTATTCAAGACGTATGAGTTTAATGATAATATTTATAAGAAAACTATGGTATCAGTGAATCTACTGATTTATTTTGAGATTAAAGAATAACTTCTGTATGCATTGAATTCTATTTTGTTTGTGTTCTAATCTCTTTCTAAAAGTAGGAATTTAATTAAACTATTTACTTTTTTTAAAATGGCCGAAGTGGCGTTTGGTAATGGAATCACATTTCCTTCTTCGTCCATTCCAAGATCTTTAAAAGAGTTTTTGTTTTTGTTTTTGTTTTTGATATAATAAAAATTAAATAATTTTTCCTTCCAACATAGTTTTTATTGTTACCGATTGTTTAGCAATCTCAACTTCAACATCAAATGTATCACCATCACTAGATTGTAATTTTATTTTATGTCCAGTCATTTCTTTTCTTTTTTCGTTTAACTAATCGACGTAAAGAATTTAATAAATCTAGAAGTAAATTAAAAATTTTGAAACTAAGTAATTAAAAAATTTATTATTAAATTTAACTATTATTCATAAAAATTAAAATTTTTTTCTATAGTTCGTATGTGAAAAAAGAACAAGTTTCTTTTTATTGGATGTCATGAAGATTTTTTTTCGTAGATATGCGCGTGTCAGAGAACAGAATGAGAAATGAAAACAAATGCATCGTAAAATTCAACGACGAAAAAATTTGTTATTTCTTTAACCCTTTCCAGCCGGCTCCCAGTAAAGACATAGTTAAAACTCTTCTTCTACATATATTTTCTTATCTTGCCATAGAGATAACAAAAAACTATTTCTTAAAATTAAACGGTACTTCTATGTTGAATAGCTGTATGTTGCCATTTGGCACAGCCGGCCGTAAAGGGTCAAAACTTTGGAAAATTCATTTGTCATTTTCGATCATCGAAATTCACTATTTTGTGTCCTTTTCATTTAATTATTCAAGAAAAAGCATAAAAAATATATACGATACACCTGTATAGTTTCTCCGCGATTCAAATCGACTTTTGTATGAAAAATTTGACATACGTTGAACTTAACGAGAGAGTAGTTGTATGGCTTTTTTGTTGGTGGTAATCGGGATAGGTATTCTTGTAGATCTTTTATTTCTCTACATCCATGCCGATACGTAAATCAAATATCTATTTCCATACCAGTTATTGAGAGCTAAAATACTATCATGCTGGCTTTTTTTCATAGAAAATTCCATTTCATGCTAGGAAAAGCTATGTAAATGCACCAGATATGTTTTGTATGCTTTATTCTTGTATGCATAAATGAAAAAACGCAAAATAGCGAATAACGATGGTCGACAACGAAAAATGATTTTTTTTAAATTTTGACCCCTCACGGCCGGCTGTTGCCATTTGGTAACATCCATACCTCTTATTGCCAGTATTCATTGAATCATCTCTTTGAGTGATACAATATACAATAGCTCAAAGAGGAGAAATTTACCACTAGTGACCTGTGGGATTGAATGATTCAGGGTGCCATAAAAACGTCTTTGTTTTGTTTCATGGGCTATGAGTGCGTTCTAAAATGTCTTGTAGTAATTATTGAACTATTGATTCACTATCTATCCACAGTATAGCAATACCTTTCTTAAAATATTGGCATAATGTTGCCAAATGGCAGCATCCGGCCGTAAAGGGTTAAAGAAGAACAACGAAATTAACATCCATTTTTATCTTTTTTTGCTCCTACGTCCACTAACGATAGCGAATAGTTTAATTACACATTAGCAATTGTATTCATCTTCAATGTCATGCATCATTTAATTGCAAATGACAACTGTACATTTTACCTCGCCAATTTGTTCTTTTTTTTCACTACAATGATGTATGACGAGAAGAGAAAGAAGACATAATTTGTTTTCTTTTCTTTCTTCGTTATATTGTAAAACCTTCATGCGATGATTGACGATATTCATAATCATACTGTTATATTGTTGACAACTACTTCGGTTGAGTATTGTTTCTCCAGGTTAAAACAATCATTTGTCTTCATTAGCAGATGATTGACTTAAACAAAAAACAATGATCAAGTGTTCCATTATTTGCACACTCCTCATCGAGATTTCTATATCAAACAATCAGTAATAGATCTGAGCAACGACTGAGAATGTTTTTATTGGAATACTCACTGTAA